TTAGTTGACTAAAAGGAGACCAATACAATGTCGACACTTGTCATTTTGAGGGTGAAAACGTAGCTTTTTTTAGTTTTATTTTTGTACACTTTGTTTTAAGTTAAAGTGACTAATAATAGTTTTAAAATCATTTAAAATTAAAAAAAAAAGATAAAAAACACTTTATCTAATCATGGTTTGCTAACACTTTATTAGCATGACCGAGTCTTGCCTTCATCATAAAGCTCAAAGACCATTCGTTGTATAACTAGCCGGATCGGGAATTCCTCCTTTCATTAGAGCTTTACTAAGCAAAAGTTTATTGGCTTCTATATCATCACCATTTTTATTAGTCAACTAATTGAACTTAGTCAAAGTGATGGAAAAACATAACGAAGATGTTATTTTAAACCAACTTTCAATGCATAAGGTTGGTTATAAATTATATCTAGATACGAGAGGTTATGGCGATAATTTCGTTAAAGTACAAGGACATATGATGTATTAAACTCTTCATTTGATAGATCCAACAAAAATCTAACGATAGATGACTAAATGATTAGTTTTCAAAACGAAAAAGAACTAATTAATTCATTTTTGAAATAAAAGAGAATAATTTATAATTTACTCTAAAAAAATAAAAATTATAGCATTCAAATGAAAAAAAATCGAAAAGTTTGCACCCTAAATATATAATAATATCGATTTTTAATGTTGGTTTGGTCAATTTTTACGTTTACTTTATATCAACTTTTTTACCTCTTATATAATTAACTAAATAAACTAAAACAAAATGATAGATTATTGTTCTAAATACTGTTCATACACTAATATTTCACTATTCATTGATTTTTTTACACTTTGGTCCCTCATCTTTGCCAACGAATCTTTCGGTCCACATCTTCATTTACTCATCCATTTTGGTCCCTGGATGAGAGAGAAGGAAGGAGGGAAGAGAGAGACGGGAGAAGAGAGAGAGATCGTCGGCCAAGCTCATTTAGGCCACTTTGGTCGGCAAAAATCCATTAGATTTTTTTTTTTATTTTAGAGAGATGAGTTTGTCCATGGTTGTTTCAAGCCATGAAACAATTAAATGAGGTAGATCGGAGCCAACAAAAAAAAAAAATGTTCGATTTGATTGTGTAATTTTTTTTTATTTTTGTGTGCATTAAAATGACTTTTAAGCTTTTATTTATGTTTATTGACTTTATTTCGATCATTTAGAGGTGTTTTGAGAAAAAAAAATAATGTCGAATTCAATTTCTAAGGGTCCGAAACTTGATCCCCGACTTTTCGACGAAGATTCCGATGACCTTGATTCACCAAAAGTTGCAGCCTTTTTTTTTTTTTTTTTTTTTTTTTTTTTGCGGTAGCAACTCAAGCTCGACGTGCGAGCTCGATTGCTCAACCGAGCCTGACGCATCGGCACGGCTCTTTTTTTTTTTTCTTTCCTTCCGTTTCGGCTTAGGAAATTGCTTTATATTATTTTGGTCCCTTCATTCTTTTTTTTTTTTTTGGTCATTAAACTTTTCTTATCTTTGATTTTTTATCCCTATCGAAATATTAAAATTTTATTATATGTGATTTTTATCCTTATAATAAATTTTTTTTTAACTTTTAGTAAAAATTCATGCTCTTTTTTTATTTCTATTTTTTAATATGTTTTTATTTTAGTTATTAAAATTTTCTCATATTTAATTTTTTGATCATTAAATTTTTTTTCCTACAAGGAACTATTTTTTACTTTTAATAAAACGTTTTGTTATATTTTGATTTTTGTTTTATTATCTTTCATTTATTTTGATCATTAAACTTTTATTATATTTAATTATTATTCATTTTACATTGAAATTAAATACATTTTAACTATACTAAGTTTTTGTTTTAGTAAAAAATTTTCTCGTTTAGATCCTTATTTTATCAATTTTTTTATTTTAGTCATTAAAATTCTATAATGTTTACTTTTGTTCCTGCCTTGTGCATAATCTTATTATTTATAAGTATTTTTTTGTATGCTTTTAGTGAAAGTTTATTTATTTACTTTTATCCTTTTTATAATCTTTAATTTGTTTTAATCATTTAATTTTTATGGTGTGTAATTTTATCTCTATTTTCTTCGTCAAATTCTCGATTTGACGAGTTTTTTTATCTTTTTGTTTTGAGTGACCTCTCTGTCTCATTAACAAATTACGGATGAATAATATATGGTAAAAATTAATTATCAAAAATTCAAAAAACTACTATATTATTATTTTAATTATCGGCTATTAATAAAATATATATTCATATCAAACAATATCTAATTAGCAACATTCTATTACTCAACTTTGCGAGACTTTTCATTCAGCTAACCCTATAGTAAATTATGAAATATATGTTTTAATTTTTTTTGAATTATTTTTATATGATATCGTCAAATAATGATTTATAAATATTAAATTTTATATTAATAAATATATAAAAATATTATATAATTTACCTTACAGTAATGTGCGGCGTATATGCTAGTTTATCCTAACGAAGAAAACGCTAGTATTATAACGTAAATAATACAAAGAAGAGTTTGCTTTATCTGTGGGTCTATTTAGGACTAAAAATTGCAAGTTTGACTGGAGACACGTACTAAAATCGAAGGGTGCATGTATCTATGACCTTTCACTAGCATTATCACTTCCATATATATATATATATAAGTCACCTTAATAAACACCAAATTATTTTGATGTAGATATAGCGAGCGCGTAATATTAGTCATGAAATGGTTGGTCCACGTTCAAGACCATACCTTTCACTACTCAACATCATGCTTTGTTTAATTAGAAGAAGAAAGCAACAACGATTGATAGGAAAGTTTGCGTCCGCAAATGAGAATGATTGGTGAAGTATTCAAGCAAGTAATGGTTATAAGTCTGGGAGGAGACATGAATCTTTACCAGGATAACTTTGGTAATTAATTAGATTCAAAGATTCTTCCTTCGGAACATTCTACAAAACTTATCTTCCTCAAGGATAAATACTTACTCTACCTATTAAAAAGATTAATTTGTACCCTCATATCTTATTTTATTTTTTCATTGGATTAGGATTATTATTATTTAAAAAAACATGATTGACATATAAATTGATTGGAGAGTATTTTTATGGTTGAATAAAAAAATAAAGAATACAAGATACATTTATATTATAACTCACAAAGAGCGGAGCGAGTGATGTGCACCTTCTTGGGCAACTGTGGAGAACCACCCTTGCATGTGTAGGAGCGCCTTGGCGGCGGGCGTCGCTGAACAGGTCAGTTGGGGTATTATTGAACCGACACCATGGGTGTATATATTAAGTATATGCTAGCTCACAACTTCTTGTCTTTTGTTTATAAACTCTTCATGCTAGTTGACTTTCAGAACAGAGCTATCCTATATGATAGAGGCCAAAAATCCTTGGACCTCCTATATATATATATATATATATATATAAAGTATTCTTTTATTCTTTTGGTGAACTTCGGGAAGATTCAATTCTTTGTCAGTTGATTTTTAAGTTCGTCAACGTATCTGAATGGATATCTTCTCAGTAAGATTTATTTCTCACCTCCGTACGTAGATGATAGCAAGAAAAACAATTCAAATTATCTAACACTGTTACTTTCATTGCCTATAAAACCTATATATAAAACTAAAATTAAATGATGATTCACTGGTTAAAACACTCTTTATATATGTTTAGATATGCTATCATATTCAGATATATTATTTCTTTTATTACGGAATGATTTTTTTTAATTTTTTTTAATTATTTATTATAAAAGTTTTCGTAATATTATACTTTGATCTTTATTTTTAAAATATTATTTTTTCAATTCGTAAATATTTTTTATTTGGTTTTGATTATTTTGATCTTTTTTTTTAATTTGTTCTCCTTTTTTTCAATCAAAAAATTTAAGAAAAGTTTTCGTGACATTAAACTTTAATTCTTTAAATTTTTTTTTCAATTCACAAATATTTTTTTATTTGATTTTGTTTTATTTTGTTCATTTTGATCCTTTTTTCTTTGATTTTTTTTATTTTGATCCTTTTTTCTTTGATTTTTTAATCAAAAATTTTAAGGCAAAAAAATATTTAAAAAAATTACAAAATAAGTTTTTAGCTAAGAATCTATTGATTCTGACATTATTTATACTATTTAAAAATTTTAGTTTATGAGTAGGGATAAATAAATAATGCTTTTTAATAAAAAAGTTTATGAAAAAATATAAAAAATAGTTACTTAAATAAATTTTTATTTATTTTTAATTTAATGTATTTTGATAGATACATAAAATAATATAAGACATCAAAATAAAATAATTTTTTTAAAAAATAATTTTATATATTTTATTCGATTCGTAATATATTAAGAATAAAAAATCTAGTTATAAACCGTAACAAAAACTAACTGCTTCTCGACGATGACATTACATAAACTCACTACTCTTTTCCTAGGCTTAGCCCAATAATTTATTCAATTCCATGGTCTTAATATGAAGTCTCCCTTTAGCTTCCCAGATAACAAAATATTTCCTTGAAAAACAAGCCACAATAATAATAATAATACCTCAAATCATCACCTGCATCCTCCATTGTTTTGAACAATCCCGTTCCCCAAGTAACATGTCGTCCTCTCATTGGCCCAAGTGTCCAGAGTCGGTTTGTAGGACCCACCATCCATCACCTCACTCAAGCATGTCCGTACACCTACAGCCCTATCTAAATTAATAACCAGGATCCAAGAAGCTGCACTTGCCCAACGACATCTATCCACGTGGCTACACGTGTTCTGGCATTTTTAAGGTCAAATCTAGCCGTCAACTCAGGTGCCTTAGATGCTTGCTCTTTCACCACGTGTCTACCAAGATTTTCTAGTTACTCCCCCTTCTATATTTGGACGAACTGAATCCCAAGTTCTTTCAACCCAGAAAAAATACATGTCCAAAACAGCACAGAACAAAGCCAGAGTAAATACAGAGGATCTTCTGTTTTTCACTTCAAATGATTCAAAATTTTGACCAAAGTGATCGTCGGATTCTCACATTTCCGGCAGTTCATCCTTGTGAAGGCATCTCCCCGGCAACCCTTCTCAATTCTTTAATCAAGCTCGCTCAAAACATATGCAATTACCAATCAAAGTTGTTTGCTACACAAAGGAAAAACGCCCGTCAAATCATTCGACAAATCGGTCTTCTTCTTCTATTTTTCGAGGAAATAAGAGACTGTGGGTTGGTTCTTTCTGATTCGGTTGTTCTTTGCTTCTCAGAGCTCCACCTTGCCTTTCAGAAAGTCCAGTTCTTGTTGGAAGATTGTACGCGTGAAGGTGCAAGGCTATGGATTCTAATCAAGTGTCAAGTAGTTGCCACACAGTTTCGAGTACTAATTCGAGCAATAGCTACAGCTCTTGATGTTTTGCCATTGAATTTGATTGATGTCGGTGATGAAGTGAAGGAGTTGGTTGAATTAGTAGCAAAGCAAGCACGAAAGGCTAAAATTGAAGCAGACCCTGAAGATGAATGGGCATTGACACAAGTGTTTTCAATATTGGATCATTTTGAGAAGGGAATTGAGACTGATTCCAGCTTCTTGAAACGGGTTCTTGATTGTCTTGAGATTAGAAACTGGAATGATGTTAACAAGGAAATCAAGTTCTTGGAAGAACAAATTGATTTTCAGTCCTCAGATTGTGATGAAAGAGAGGTTCCATTTCTAAGCAGCTTGCTGGGTTTAATGAGCTACTGTAGGGGAGTGATTTTTGAGACATGGAATCATCGCAACAATGATCAAAGCGATGCAAGGCACAGCATTGAGGCTCTTAGTTGCATCAATACTGAAGATTTTCGATGCCCCATTTCACTTGAGCTGATGACTGATCCGGTAACTGTATCAACTGGGCAGACTTATGATCGGTCTTCGATTCAAAGATGGCTCAAAGCTGGAAATATGACCTGTCCAAAAACAGGTGAGAGGCTGACAAGTACAGAGTTAGTTCCCAACACCACTCTCCGAAAGCTGATCCAACAGTTCTGCGCCGATATTGGCATTTGTTCATCTAATTCAGGAAGCCGAAGTCGAGACATAGCCAGGACCATCTCTCCAGGTAGTCCTGCAGCAGCGGAGGCAATGAAATTCCTTTCAAGGTTTCTTGCGAGAAGGCTGGTTTTCGGTTCAAGTGAGCAGAAAACAAAGGCTGCTTACGAAATTCGGTTGCTTGCAAAATCAAACATTTGTAATAGATCTTGTTTGATTGATGCAGGCACAATCTTACCTCTCATAAACCTTCTATCTTCTTCTTTAGACCACTATACACAAGAGATTGCTATTTCAGCTTTATTGAAGCTCTCAAAGCATATTTGTGGTAAGAAAGAGATCATTGAGAGTGGTGGATTGAAGCCGATTGTTGCAGTTCTTAAAAGGGGATTGAGTTTGGAAGCAAAGCAAATGGCAGCTGCCACAATTTTTTACCTTGCTTCAGTGAAGGCATATCGGAAACTGATAGGAGAAACACCTGAAGTAGTTCCAGCCCTCGTGGAACTAATCAAGGATGGGACCACTTGTGGCAAAAAGAATGGAGTTGTGGCGATTTTCGGGCTGCTTCTACACTCAGGGAACCACCAAAGGGTGTTTGCATCCGGTATTATTCCATTGTTGATGGATATTTTGTCTTCCTCAGATAACAATGAACTCATAGCAGATTCACTAGCAGTCCTCGCAGTTATAGCTGAAAGCGTTGATGGGACATTTGCAATCCTGCAAACTTCGGCCTTATCTACAATCCCCAGGATTTTGCAATCTTCGCCATCTAGAGCTGCCAGGGAGTATTGCATCACTGTTCTGTTAAGTCTGTGCAAAAATGGCGGTGCAGAAGCGATTGCGATTTTAGCGAAGGACCATTCTGTCATGAGTTCACTATATTCACTTCTAACAGATGGGACTTCTCATGGTAGCAGTCAGGCTCGTGCTCTGATAAAAATTCTACACAAATTTCATGAAACAAGTTCTTCAGGAATGATTGCTTCAGAAGTTCCATGTGAACGACAAGTTCGTGTGCGGTAACTTTTGTTCATCCTTTTTGTCATTGTAAATACATTATACATACATTACAGAGAGAGGATGATTCAGCCCCTGGAATATTATGCAATTAGCTCAGTTTTTGCAAGGGCTACTTGCTATATATCAGCTGTATATTGTTCAGTAATTAGGTACCATATACATATGTAGTTTGATTCTTTTGTGTAATAATAAATAAGATGGTGTGAGAGTGATATACATTTTATTGTTGTTCAATTATATACAAGTGACCAGTGATCTATATATATATTCCTACGACGTTTGTGTTTGGTTTGTGGGGGATGTCATATATAGTTTAAGTTACTGATTTTCTGCATTGCAAAGTGGTCTTTCGGACTTCCCCATTCCTGGTAACCAAAGATTACTTTTAGGGTCCGTTTGCTGTACAAATTCTTAGATATTTGAAATATGATTGTTGAAAATATGATAGCTGAAAACGTAATTTTAGTGTTTGGTTGAAAATGATTTTTTTTACATAATATATAATAATTTATTTATATTGTATCGGTTTATAGTAAGGAATTCATGTGGAATTGAAAAAAATTTACTATTATATCCCAAAACCTTGAGTACGTAATTGGGCGCTATGATATATATATATATATATGCAAACAAGTACATGCATGTTACATTGATTATAACTATCAAATAAAATAATTTATTTACAAACAAATAACATAACTTATACTTTCTCATAATAATAATAATAATAATAGTAGTAGTAGTAGTACCAAGAATAAACCACGTCTGTTGTTATTTAAATAATAATAAGGGGAGGAGGAGGATATCTTAGTCCACTTAATATTAAAGTGGGGGCATTTTAACTAAAAAAATATATAATAAAATCCTAAAATTTCTCATCAGTTTAATAGCAAAAATACTCCAAAATTATTATGTTACGACAATTTAAGATACTATCAATTTAAGCTATTTGGATTTCAAACTATTATTTTCTCTATCTCAAAAATATTTTTCTTCTTTCTAATTATATCTCGTCTCAAAATCATTGTCTCAATACAACAAATTTGAAATTTGCATACAAAAAAATTCATCCTCAAATAATTGAAATTCGTCAACGAAAATATTCTAGGACATAGCTAAATCGTCCCAAAAGCCGAGTAGGTAATTGTATTTTCGGACACAAAGTAAAAATCGTCCTTAAAGGATATTTAATACGGACGAATATGAGTTTCGTCCATGAATGTCGACCATTTACGGACAATTATTTTCATCTTAGAATGTATCTATATTCGTCTAGAATGAGTCCATTTCGTCCGCAATTGAGAATGATTTGAGTGGAGGGATAACATTTTTGTTGATGAAACAAATTCATCGAGCAAATGTAACCATAAAATGATGACGAAACATTTCGTCCGCAATGAATATTTTTTGGGACGATAAATTTCATCCCCGATTTATCATACATATCTAATTGCATGTGATTTTTGTATATGACAAATTTCGTCCCTAATTTACCTTAATTGGGGATGATAATTTCGTCCTTGATTGCTTGCTTTTTCTTGGACGACAAATTTTGTCACTAATTTGGTTCAAGTTTGGAATGTTTAGATTACGTTTGTAATTGCTTGTATTTTATGATATATATATTCGATCATTGGTTGCCTTTTTTTGTTAGAAGGTAAATTTTTTCTTTGCCCACGTTAAATTATGGAGCATGAACTCACTAAGATATCGGTGAGGAAAAGAAAGAAAGGAACCAAAATATGCATAAATAAAGATATATATATAGTGTATGTTTACATTATGAAAAGTCTTCAATATGTTAAAAACAAGCACATACCAAAAGTTCGGAAAAAGTTATTACGCGAAAAAGTTCAAAATGGAACTAAGTTGTTATAGTAGCTAGATATTTTTTGCTACTCGAATTTAAATTAAACATAGCTAAAAAAGCAAAAGGTGACCTTAAAAGTTGCTCCACTTCATCCTTGTGCATTTGATGATCCGCATGAAAAAATAATATATATATAAACCACGAGACAACACTTGTTTAACCAAATATTTAACCATTAAAAATGATTTAAGTTGTATAGGTTACCCTAAAATATTGGTAGATGGATGGCGTCCTGTTACAAAAAATATCTCTAACATCTTTTCTTATCGTTCCAAACGAATGATGAGATCCTCAACTTTATCAATCAACTTGTGATTAGTTTCTTGAGATTCTTTAAGAGATTCAACAAGCTTCTTAATTGGAAGGTTGGAGTCGCTCACTCGTGCTCTTTGGCTTTGGACCATATCCAAGTCCTTTAATATAACCCGATTGAGTTTCAAGAACTTTATCACAAATTTCATTAACACTCAATGGCTTGCCTTCGGATACGGAATTTTCCATCAATTCAATCATAGAATTCGAGTAACAATAGTGAATAAACATATGATTACATTTTGAGTGAAAATTTAATTGGAGTCTATCTAAGTGAAAAAGAATGACTTGATGATCATAAGGGTAGAAAACGAGAAATAATCGGAACCCAATCGGTGATCATAAGTGCTCTTTAGATATAAACCGGATTATTTAATATTTTTTTCAAAAAATCTCTAGAAATTCAATGCCTATAACATCCTCATACAATCCAATCGATGCTCCTTAAGGTTCCAAGTGGTGAAGAATGGGAACAACAACATTAAACACTTACATATTTGGATTCGGCCTCCGAATTTAACCAACCTTTCCCTTCCTTATAATGAGTATATTTGAAAAAGAAAACCCTATCACATTATTTATCGTTGTTCTTCTCCTCCTTATCTCATAGATACCAACCATGATTATTGTGAGCTCAAAGTATAATGACATTGGAAAATAAAAATATAATTGATCTACACTATTATGTGGACTTTGCTTACAATTTCATTCCGAACAACAATAAAAGCCATTGATCCCCGGTCGTGCGACAACTTCGACTTGCTTTGATTTTCGGTATTTTTAGCACATCTAGCATATGAAGGAAAACAACAAAAAATAATGGTTACTTTTAGTTTTGTCGTGGAATCCTTGCACTCTAGGCCTACCTGTTGTGAGCATAAAAAAGGTCACAAATCATTCAAATCCTAAAGAATCAAAAGACTAGACAATATAAGATAATGTATGCACTAACTCCACCATATCAGCTAAAGATGTATGCATGTTTTAACATATACCTTAACACTTAGATTAGCCTAATAATTGAAAAATGCTTTCCAATTATCTTCTATCAAGTTCTTGATGTCGGGCTTATTTTCTTTCACCTCCTCAATCGAGTTAAACTTCTTAAAATGTTTGTGTAAGAGATACCGTGCATTCCTAAATTGATTCTTCAACAAGTCTTCAATGTTTTCTTTAACAAAGTCATCATCTATATCTTCCACTTCCATATGCATCCGAATAATTTAGAAAAAAAAATGAATTTTAGATTAGAGCCGGGAATTCGGTTAATGGATCTCCTTAAAACCTAATTTTAGATTAGAGCCAAAAACTACTTGCATCAAGGTTATCCAATGCAAGGTTGAAATCTTCTACATTCATGTCCTTCCATTTAGCCGGCACACGAATACGTTATCGAGAAATGAATCCCAACTGATTTGATAACTTGGCGGATTGAGTCCTATTAAGTGGTCTTCCTATATCCATCTCAATATTAACTTTCAGCCTTTGCCCAACTAATTTGTTCAACTTTTGTAAATCTTTACCTCTTATGCCCCCACATTTTGTTTTGATTAAGTTTGATGCTACAATGATCAAGAAAAAGTTAAACAATTTATGTAAAATGTAATTAATAAAACAATAAATAATTATAAACAATTGATAATAATATAAATATATAACATGAGCTGCTTGTTGGAGTAGGCAAATTGCCGGCGTCACTATCCGATGTTGGGATAAGAATGGGAGGAGACGAGTGTTTGTTCATCTTGGGGAACATCTTGTGGATTGCTTGCTGAAATATTAGTTGAAGAAGATGCACCATTAACGGCTAATTATGAAGGACTAGTTGGTGAAGTAGCTCCAGTTTTAGATGCTCTAGTGTGAGGTCGTAACACCGAAACCCTCATATGACACACCTAATGAACAACATAGCATAAAGAATCCTAGTTAAGCAAGAATCAATAAAGAACAATTAATCATTAATTTGTAGCGATAAACCAATTGAAAAAGAGGAATTGTAATTACATGAATTATCAATCATCAAAATCATCAAAGCAAGGGTTTTCCTCATCACTACAATAATTAAGTAAAGTATCATCCTCTTCTTCGGTTTGATCGGATACAAAGTCATCATCTTCTTGCACAACTCTTTTGCTACTTTCAATAACATTGGCTTCTATAACTTATGAGTCCACATCAGCTCTATACAATAAAGCTATGTTTAAATCTGGAATAATATCAACATCTATACTATCTTGCATTTCATTTTCTTGATATACTTCATCATTGAAGGTCGATAGTTCATCTTCATCCTTTATCCGATCGGGTAATATTTGCACATCAAACACATGCCTATACTGAAATTGTTGAACTACTTGCCAATTATGTTCTAATTTTATGTCATCAATATAGAAAATTTGTTTAACTTGAGAAGCTAACACATAAGGCTCATATGCATACCAAGTTCGAGAAACATTAACACTTGTAAAATTACCATCTATATGTATGCTTGTATTTTTTTCTATTAAGATCAAACCACTCACATTTAAAAAGCACAACTCTTTTATCTTTTATATAGTCCAACTCTATAATATCGGTAAGCACCTCATAAAAAGTGACTATATTGTCACAATGATTTGCTTCTACTACCACCCCACTATTTTGGCTTTTAAGTTGTGCATCACGATTCTTAGTATGAAACCTAACCCCATTAACGATATAACCATTATATTTATTTATAAAAACTTGAGTTCCGTATGCTAAAGAATATAATGCCTCACTTGCTTCTTGTGATCGTTCATTATATAAACATATCATCTACAAGATAAAAGAATTAAGGTAA